AAACCGGTATATTTGGAAGTTGTACCTTGTTGTGGAGATAATATTGGCATTATCGATTATAGGCAACAATGGATTTCAGGTTTTTCTCTTCCTTCTGAGTCTAAGCCTTTTAAAATTTTCTTCAATGTTGTAATGAACACAGTATAATAACGTAATTGGAAATCTATTTCATATAATTATTGCTACAGCCTTGCAGAGGCTCCTTTTCTTTCCCTATCTATATTCGTAGTTGAGTTTTTACCAAAAATGAAGTTGGAGAAATCATTTCAAGAAAATTAAAATAAGCAAAACAGATTATTTACTGGATTTTCCATTTGCATATTTTCTTGTTAAAATTTATAGTTTCTAGTTAAAATTGGGAGAATATATAGATTATTGAAATTGCAAGAGAATGTTAAGTCATTGAAATTTGGGGTATAATATAATTTGAGTTGAGAGTGGGGGTTGAATGTTCTGGTTGGTGAAATAATCATGTTAACACATAATATATATATATATATATAGAAAATCAAACACAACTAAATATTGGTTATAAAAAATTATTTTCAGATTATCATTCAAAAATACAAGTCAAAACTTTATTCATGCAACATTTTGCGAATCTAATTGAAGCAGTAAATTGAATTACATCTCATCCATGCTTTCTGACGCAACATGAAACACGGATTTCAAGGGAAAACTCTAAGAACTTGAAATTTGGAATCCATCAAATTATGAATGAATAAGCTCATGAAATTTTATTAATGAAAAGATGATCAAAACAACGAAATAACCTCATATTTATAAGGTTTTACATGAAATCTAGTTTAAGATGATTAAAATTAATGAAAACATAGTTTAAACAAACTAAAATTGAAAAGAATCCAAAATAACCTAAATAACAAAAATAGTGCTAAAACCTTAAAAATTAGTTTGCGAATCGTAAATGAACTCTAATGGCTAAAATCCATCTTAAGTTATGGCAAAGCAATAAGTATTACTCGTCACATTGTCCTCTTTTTGAAATGGTATTATTGGTTCAAATCGAAAGTCAAATGTTTTCTTCTTTATTACTTTTTCCTCATTTTGATCCAATTCTTCTTCCAGCCATTCAACAATGTGTTTTACACCACTTTCTTTTTGAGTCTCCAGGCAACTGAACCAAAAACATCATTGCCTCACAACTAATTTGAATGTTAATTCATGTAATTTTATTTGTGTACCCTTGCCATAATGAAAACAACTTTCTTTCAACTTGGTTCTCTTTAAGGTACAATTTATTTATGCTAATTTACTAATATTGGTGATGTTCGGAACTTTACAAAAAAAATGTAGTGGTGAAATATGAGTGGAGCAATGTTCGAAGCTATTGTTAGAAATTGTTCAAAATAATAATGGGGAATTTGGAGGAAATCAACAAAATCAAAATCGAGGGCAAATGGTGCACATGGTCTTAGCCATGCGTGCACATGGCCCCGTTTGCTCAAACCCGACAGTAAATTGGTTGAACCATGTGAACACATACCTCTTTTGTTTATTCACCGAGTTCTTGAAGACTTGTGCTTTAGTGTTGTTGGAAAAATGAGTAAATGAGTCACTTTTGGCATAAGTTTGAGTGGGACTCGTTGATCCGATTTGGAAGATCAAAGTTGATCTGTATTCTCCTTCGTGAGAGCATCAAAACCATATATTTACTTGCCAAAATTGATTAATGGATGAATGAGAAATTGGAG